CACTGAGGAGAGCAAACCTGTTGGACACGTGAAGCGGAGAGGAGTGGTGCTCGTGTGGGCGAGCCTTAGCGTTAGCTTTGGCTTTGCGATTATGCCGCCGAGTCGTCACCCATTCGCCCCGCTGTGAGGGCTCTAATGCCGGAGTTGGGGGATTACTAACTCCGCCTAAGGCATCCAGACTTTCCCCTACAGAAACTACACTGCTCTCACTCTCACTAACCCTCTCTAGAGTCTGAATGCGCACCTCTAATGCTGCAATCTTCTCCGTCAGAGAGCTAACTAGCATGCATTTATCACAAATAAAGCTATTACTAACGACGGAGGAAGAGTGACTAAACATCCTGCACTCAACACACTGAACAAGCTGAATGTTAGACATGTTGTTCAACGCACCTTAGTCGGAGATTTGTTGATATTGTAGACAGCGTGGATCCGGTGTGGATGGCCTCCGCTCGCTGTCTTAACAAAATAGAAAAGCGCACTTCGAGAAAAAAATAATAAATAAATAAATGAAAATATGATAGAAGAGAAAAGTGAAAAATACAACAGATGAAAACAATAGCACAATTAGCAAATAAAACAATTATTTATTTTAAAAAGAGGGAAACAGTACAGTTTAAGACGCCGACGCAGGCAAGAAACTCCCGGCAAAACAATTCGAAAACAGGAAGTGACGTCCAAAACAGTCTGTGTGAAGTAGGTGAAGTAGCCTGTTTATGACAAAGTTGGTTGACAAAAACAGAGAATATTCCCAATATCTGGGGCAGTAGAAATGAGTCATAACTTAAAGCCCTTTCTTGAAGTCAAGAAATACCATCTTGGCATCTCAGCAGGTAGTAACCAATTTGGATCAAAGTGCCAAATGTCACTCCCTTACCGTGCCACTTCACCCATATCGGCACCGGCATGTTAATTTCTACGCAGGAAAATAACAGCGGAGTGCAAACGTGAAAACAATGGCTTCCATCTAACAATCTAACAAACTCTTTGTCTTTATTTTTGCACTTTTTATTTCACAGTGAGTATAGTTTGATTTTCGATAATATCAAACACAAGCTGTGCATGAGGCATTTAGAGAGGAAGTAGGCAGTTCAGTCTACAGTTCAGTGTTCAGCCAGACCTCTGGGAAGTTCCTGCAAGAGGCCTGGCAGAGTATCTCTGAACAATACCTGAATAATGTAGCTGGTATAGCTGAAGTGGGAGGTCTTTTAGATAAATAATTACAGGTCATTGTTTAATATGTAAGGTTATTGCAAATACACAATAACATGGCACTATATTAAGAACATTTTGAAAAGCTAGGTGTCCCCAAACCTTTAACATGTTTGTAATTGTTTGTATGTTAATCTTGATATTTCAGAGTAAGTTAGCTTTGCTCTTTCTCAGTATACGAAAAGATGTGATTCCTTTAGTTCTAAGCAGTGAAAGTATAAATAATGACAGTGTATAATCATTGTTCCTCAAGAGACTGGCTTTCATGAAAAAGTGAAATCATAGTGATGTATGTTGTGATCTGGTATAATCAGTATTATTTACCAGGAATTATGCACCATACTTATTAAAGTGATTAGAAATACTGATTTACCTCATTTAAAAACTCATTTAGACTCCTGTACAAATATCTGTTTGTTAGTCATTAATTGTGTATTGGATGAAGCAGAGATAGTGTTATTACAGAGCAAGACACCAAAGTTAAAGATGAACACAGAGCCTTGAATCAGAGTCTTTATATATCTATCTATATCTATCTATATATATACAGTCAGGTCTGGAAGTATTTGGACAATGAGAGAGTTTTTGTGATTTTGCCTTTATACACCACCACAGTGGATTCGAAATAAAACAATCAAGATGTGATCAAAGTGTAGACTTCCAGCTTTATTTTAAGAAGTTCTACAAAAATATGGCATTTACCATTTAGGAATTACAGCCATTTTCAACAAAGTACCTCCATTTTCAGGGGCTCAAAGGTATTTGGACAAAGTGACATAATTGTAAATATAACAATAATTGTAATACTTGGATGAAAATCCTTTGCAGTCAATGACTGCCTGAGGTCTGGAGCCCATGTTCCAGAAGTACCATAAATGATCTTAATTTGCTGCAACAACTGGAGGTTTATATTGGCCCTGTCCAAGACAAAATTAATCAGCCATGAAAATTCCTCTACAAGATGGATATTATTAATTCAGGATCATATATAATATATAATTTGCATATACAGTATACTGTAAAACTTTAAAGTTTAAATTAAAGATTAAAGTTTTTCAGTATACTATATATGCAAATTATATATTATATATGAATTAAATGTTTGGTAATATATTAGTCAAAATTAATATATGTATTATATTCAATAAACGTCAGCAGCAGTGAAATGTCAACTCCAGTCCTAGGGACCAACTGCGTTGCAAAGATTCAGGTTTTCCTCTGCTTTCACCATCCGTGTGTCATATGGATTTGAGGGTATGAGATCATCCTGTGATGAATATCTTGCTTACCTGTGTTCAAGTCCACTGGATTACTTCATCATTGACTATAAATGATTATATGTGAAGATCAAGCATTCATGAGTAAACACTGTAAATATCTGTCTGGTGAAGACAGATTTTTTTCCCCTCCCCATAGTCAATCACTATGGATTCCCCATAGAGGCTCAGTAAAACTATAGATTCTCTGTCTCTCCTCATTCTCCATGTGGCCTTTGACAAGTGGAGAGCAGAGAGTCGCCAAAATGATGATTTATACGTCTGTTTACATAGAATTTCACCCGTGATTGGAGCTAGGAAGGTCTGCTAGCTTGCATCCATTAGCCTGACAGCAGGTAATTACATAAGTTTCCTTTACTCTGAATTTCACTCCCACAATTAAGGTGACAGCCTGGCTGAGTCAGTCCAAGCTTTCAAGCTCAGCTTTCAGCGATTTCCGAGCCAAGTATCACAAGGCTAGACACAAGGTTACAGCACCATGGCTAAGCTAAGTGATGGTCACTGCCACCCTACCATGAAGCATGGGCACCCCTCTGGACAGTAAGTCAGTAAGACCCCTAGTGAGACATTATTGAATGGCTGGTTGAATCTCACTGTGATAGGCTAGTCTAGAAAATTTGAAAGTTCATTTCATCATTGCTCAACGGCGAGGAACAAACAAGGTTAACTAGCTAAGATTACTCAGTAAATTTCTCAGTAGCCACACTGAACACAATGAACAATAATACTGTATTTCTTCAGGTCCTTATTACCTACCTTTAGATAATGATATTCAATTCTAGTGTATGTCATAAGATTTAGCTTAAAGTTATGTTTGCTATAACTTTTTGTAGCTTGCTTGACAACAAACAAATGTCCCTTAGCTGTAAGTCTTTAAAGTCCAATGGGGATCCTACTCAGGCTGTACACAGATAGGGGTAGCCATACTATTCTTTTCTATGAATCTGGATTAGTATTTTACCCCACACTAGATCACCACCCCAATAAAGTCATTTGGTCTAACCTAGCCATCCCACATTAAAATATCTGGCTACACCCCTGTACAGCACCAGACCTTAAACTTGATATACATCCCCAGCAATTACCAATCGAAATACAGTATGAATAATATGATACCTTCAATAACTTTCATAACTGCATAGAAAATGTCTAAACATTGTCTACATTAATTGGGAGTACAAGCTCTGCAGGCCATCTGGGATTTAAATGGCTCTACTAACTTTTTAAAAAGACCTGAACTAATAATCATGAAATTTGTAGCTATAACAACCCACATACTGGGCTTTTTCACCTGTCAGCATTTTCCTGGAATCAAAAATAATTATCAGCCATTACGTAACAACTGGACTACAGTCTAGTGCTGCACAGTCTAGCTAAATAAGGTAAGAGGTAATGAAAAGCTCTTAGAAGAGATCATGGCATGTGACAGACCACCAGTTGTGCTTTTTTGTTCAGTGGACAACAAAAGTCAACAGTATATGACATTTTAAAACCTGGATTTTCCTTGATAAAATTCTTATTTTGAAGAACACTCGTTCTTTTTGAACACCTGGTAACTGCTAGGGCAGTTAATATGACTGGATACCTTCTTGTGTGCTTGCACAAGCGTGCTGAATACATGTTTCTCTTGAACTTTCCCGCTGAGTTTTGGCTGCTTTCCAATGACAGGGCACCATGGCAGATAGCTGGGGTTCATATTACCTAGATAACATGCCACTATGTCAGGAGGAACCGACCCACTTTAGGACTGACTG